TATGGGTGTAGATTTCAGATACCCATTACAGATTCGTAAACATTTATTTTGGATTTGATCAATCTTTTTAAGATGACATTCAGAGGCCGATCCATATAATACGCACCCATAATCGATTATTGACTGGATAAAAGATTTATAAAATAGAAGACAAATGTTAGGATCTGCCCCCCACTTACTATGGCTGAAAACTTTTATGATGTTTATAGCATTTTCAATTTTAGATGTTATATAATGAATATGAGATTTCCAGTTAAGTTTCGTATCTAGAGTAATACCTAGATACTTAATTGAGGATAAGTACGGGACTGTGTAATTTTTTAGTGTTATGGAAGACGGATGATGAAACCTCTTCCTAGTGAATGTAACAGCTGCTGACTTATTTTCTGAAATGGAAAATCCGTTATTCTTTATCCACTTTTCTAATGAATCTGAAGCTACCTCTAAGTTTTGATGGCATTTTTCTATATTTTGTTCTGCCGTATATATACATATATCATCAGCATATTGTAATGTTTTTATATTCCTATGGAATATAGTGTCCAAGTCGAAAGAGTATATAATGTACAAAATAGGACTTAATATGCTGCCCTGAGGAAGGCCAACTGCGGCTTTTTGAGGACCTATTAACTTGTCTACTGTACGAATATAAATATTTCTCTCGTTATACAATTTATAAATATTAAAAATAAGTAGTTCCGGTAGTTTTAGCTTTTGCATCTTGTCCATTAAAATGTCTAATTGAATGTTATCGTACGCTCCTTTTATATCTATGAATAAACAAGTTGTTGAAAAATTGTGTGAGAATCCACTTTGTATGTCAGTAACTAGAGTAGTCACATTGTCTAACGTTGAACGATTTTTTCTAAATCCGAATTGGTATTCGGGTAATAATTTATTGAATTCTAAAAAATGTTCTAATCTGTTTTTAATCATTCGTTCAAAGGTTTTTAATAAACAAGATGCCAAAGCTATGGGCCGATAAGAATCTGAATTATTAGATTTTTTTCCAGGCTTTAATAAAGGTACTATAATATAATCAAGCCAATCACTGGGAATTGGTATTTTATTAAACCATATATTATTATATATATCCAACAACGCATTTCTACCGGAATAAGATAGATTAAATATCATATTATACTGAATTTGATCCTTTCCAGGGGATGTATTAGAATTTTTTTTTCATAGCTCTATTCAATTCATACAGGCTGAAAGGCGTTGTTAAATAATTATCTGAATTTCCAGAGGAATCATATAAACAAGGTTTCAGTGGTTTAGAAATGCAAACTTTTGGACATAATTTATTTTGAAAATCCTCTATCCATTCAGCACTTGATTCTATGTAATGTGTATTGTTTTGTCTTCTATTTTTATAACTATTTACTTTTTGCCAAACTTGTTTCATAGGTGTGGTTTTATTTAAGGACTGACAATATATTTTCCATGATTCTGATTTAGTTATTTTTATCGTTCTTTTTGCTATTGCATCAGCTCTTTTATAATTTATTAAATTTTGCAGGTTTGGATTATTTTTGTATATTATAAATAAATGTTTTCTGTTATTGACTTTTGCCTGACATTCGTCATTCCACCAGTGTTTATTTTTTTTATTTTGCTTATATTTATATCTCTGTGGTATTGCTTTTACAGCTGCATTATTAATTGTATTAATAAATTGGCTGTAATTAGAATTATTATCATTATTTATAAAATAATTGTCCATTTCGCTTTGAAATTTATTCCAATTGGCTTTTTTTGTTATCCATCTACTATACACCATCATTTCATTACTGCTCATTTCACATTTAAATTTAATTAAAATCGGAATATGGTTAGAACCATGTGGATCGTCCATTATTTGCCACTCGAAAAGATGTGCTATACTTGATGAACAGAGTGTTAAGTCTATCGCTGAGGAGTTACTGTTTAAGGTGGGCACTAATGTATGACTGCCATCGTTTAATAGTACCAAATCCGTATTGTCTATTGCATCTTGTAACCTGTTACCCTGAGAATTGGTTGTTAAACATCCCCAAGCGGTGTGATGAGCATTGAAATCGCCCCCGATTACACATGGCTTCGGGAGAGATTCCAAAAACTCGTCCCACTCATCCGTCCCTATGGAACTTCTTGGAGTAACATAAATGTTTACAAAAAATATACTGATTTTGTTGGTTGATAGTAGTTGGATACAGTTTGCTTGCAGTTTATTGGAGTGTCTTACCATAATCTCATTATATTTTAACTTTAACTTTACCAGGAAAGCCACACCTCCATACCCGTCAGGGCGGTCTTCCCTAATAACGTTATAACCTGCAAAATTTACATATTTTGATGGCTTAAACCACGTCTCTGAAAGCATAGCAATATCTATATCTTCATTTATTAACATATTTTGAAGATTTTCCTTATTAGATATAGCTGATCTACAATTCCACTGGCAAATCTTAAAACAACTGTTCATCAGATATTGCGTTAAATTTATCTTGAATAATACTAAGTAAAGTTGATTCCTGAATTTCAAATTTATTTTGTTGTTTTAAGATTCCTATAATAGATAAAATTAAACCTACTAAAGCATTCTCCGTAACAGTGACACAAGTGTCTTGATGAGGCTGATTCAATGTTAAGTTTGATGTGTAATTTTGTTTTTCGAAAACGGCTGTCGATGAACTCGGTAAATTAATTGGTGATATAATTTTTTTGTGCAAATTCAGTGTATTTTCTTGTTCTTGAGACCTCACCAACCTAGGTCTTTTGTGAGAAACCGCGGGATGCTGGGAGTACACCGAACTCGACTTTTGCCCGTTTGGCTGCGTTTGGGAAGAAGGAAATATATTAGATTGTAACTGAAAAGCATTAGAATTACTGTATAAATTGTGGTTACTTTCGGCTATATAATTATTGTTTAAAATTTCGGTCGATCCCGGATATTTATTAACCACTTGTGCATAAGTAAATTTAGGGGTTTTTTTGTTAGCTTCGGCATAAGATAAATTTTGCTCAGTCATTAATTTTTTAATTGTTTTTTGTCTATTAAATTCTGGACACTCTTTTATTTCATTTGTATAATGTTTTCCACTACAATAGAAACATGATTTTTCTACTAAACTTTTTTTACAGTCTTTTGTCTCGTGTCCCTCTTTACACTTTAAACAGCGAACGTTACTTCTACACTGCTTTATTAAATGACCGTATCTATAACAATGAAAGCATAGTAGGACCTTTTGCTCGTAGGGTTCTACCGGAATTCTTACATGATTAATGCATATATATTGTGGTAACCTAGATGCTTTAAAAGTAACAAAAAAAGTTTTTGTAGGCACGTATTCTTTAGTACCGTCCTGTTTAATTACTTTGCGATTCATTCGTTTGACTGCCTCAACACTAAATTTACAATGCATATCAACCGGATTTATTTTCCCTTTAACATACCCTTCATCAAACTCATAATCTATATTTCGTATTATACCAAATTTATGTGTAATAAATTTAGGAATATATGCCAACAAATTATATTTCTTTAAATTAACCGACTTTAATAAATTATTTGCCGATTTATAGTCTTTTAATTTAATTCTTAACCTATTACGCCCTATAGAATCTATGCAATTAATTTTGGAATCCAATTCTGGATGTTCTTTAAACAATATATCTCCTATTCTAATTGCGTTTAATTTACTATCGAAATTATCTAGACTACTTTCAACATAAACGTAAAAAGGAGCGATATCTATACTATTATAAAAACTTGGAATACGTACTGGTTTCTGGTTTTTATCTGTTGTTGAATCCGTATGATTTACGTTAGAATTATTAATTATTTTACTTACATTTGGATTATTGATATTTACTACTGTTGTTTTGTCTAATACATTACGTTGCAATTCTACATCCATATCCCAATTATTTGGGACATCTATGTCACCTTTGAATTCGGGTTGAGTTTCAATTTGGGGGGTTTCACCACCCCCCTGTTTGGCACTCATATTATACACTCACTATAAATTAAGTTTCTTATAAAACCTACTACACTAGAAATTTTAACAAAATTATTCGAAATTGGACACTGTAGTTAATTACTTCGCACTCGATAAATCGACCGGTCGATTCAATGATCACGAACGAATTGTGAAAATTTTTAAACAATACAATTTTAATATTCATTTCAGTATAATATAAAAAGGTTAACGTGAGAAAACACCTACACTTTATTTAATCTTAAAAGAGAATTATACAAACAAATTTGTCCATGTGGAATTATTATAAAACTATGCAAAAATATTATACTTCTGTGGCTAGAAGGCAAAAGGGGATAACTCTCATTTGGAAGTTTTTCAGTACAGACATTTTTAGTTCATATCGCACCATCAATACAAGACTATCATTACTCAAAAAGTTGCTTTTTACAGAATCAACAATTTAGTTTTGCTCTCAAATATAATTTTCGATAACTCTTTTAAAAATAAAGTTATTGAAGTAATTATTTTTGTGAGTTTCTAATAGTTTTTACTTTTCATATTACTATATACAAAATATAAATGAAAACTTAGTAAATAATTATTTTCATACAATTTCAACTTGTGATAGTTTTGCAGGGTAAAATTTGATCATTCGAAAGGCAGATGGCTTCATGCCAAACATAGTACATAGCTTCTTTATTTGTAACATTGTAAACAGTAAAATGAAAAGTACTTAGCTTACTTTTATAATAAAATGCTGAAGATTTTCCTAAACGAGTTAGTAATAAAGCTTATAAATCATACACTAAAACAATGCTTTTATCTGGATTTTTTCTTAATTGTTCTACATCATTCTGTTTTTCCTTCCTTGCTTGTTCTTTGTGTCTAATGTGAGTTTTATATTCCTCATCCATTAATTTTTTTCTTCTAAAGAGCTATTTTGATATTTCAGGCCTAAATTACATTGATCTTTTTTAAATTTGAATAGACCAATGTTATTAAATACTTTTGCATAAATAGGCTTCATTTTGTTCCTCACATTTTTTTATACAGCCTATATAGAGTAGCCAAATTAAGGCTTCCATCAATGTATTCTCGAGATGTTTTTGCCCCTAAATAGTGGGATTCAATTCTTGCAATTAATTCAATAAGCTGCCTGATAACTTTTAATATGGCAGTACTGGTCGATTTTTGATGACCGTGCCTTCCACGCGTATCACTTTTAACCATGCCTTCTGTATTTAATTCTTTTAAAGCAGTCCTTACCATCGTAGTACTAATAGACAAAGTACTAACAAAAAAGTGTTTACATACTCTAACTTTAGCTCCATTAACAACAAAATGAAAGGCAAAATTTTTTGATCTGTTACTTCCTTCATTCTTATATTCGTATTTTGGTGTTATTTCACTGATACAATTTACAATAAAATCCCTCCTCCTGATAATATCATTGAAACAATAAAAACCTGTTAAAATTATTTCCCTGTCTTGATTATTAATGTTAGAGGTACACTTTAAACGGCACCTGCTTCCACATGGTGCTTTACAACTTTACATCTTCTTAACTAACTTACCGGATGAGTTCACATAAGGTTGACCTAAATTCAACTTATTTCTTTTTAAATAGGTAAAGAAATAATAAATAAGACTTACTCACAATCAATTTAATTTAACTATCAGACGACCGGTTTCGCTTTCTACAATATGCAAAGCATCCTCAGATCTCGATACAAAGTTAAACAAATGCTGAAATAATAAAAACCCACATTAGGGTGTTGTCTAATAACGATAAACAAAGTAGGTGTTGTTGTAAATTACAATAATTATGTCAATATTTATATATATCTTATATTTATCGTTATTAGACAACACCCTAATATGGGTTTTTATTATTTCAGCATTTGTTTAACTTTGTATCGAGACCTGAGGATGCTATGCATATTGTAGAAAGCGAAACCGGTCGTCTGATAGTTAAATTAAATTGATTGTGAGTAAGTCTTATTTATTATTTCTTTACCTATTTGAAATGGACTCACACAAGCAACACATTCATGATTTTATTTCTTTTTATATTTCACATCCATTTAGATGGATTACAAATTCTTTTACGTGGCTTTTTCTTTATAACATCATTTGCCTCTTCATTCGTTTGTTCTGCTGATGTACTTTGTAAGTCAGTTATTACATTTTGTTGAGTACTGCCGTCATCATTTTTTGATTATAGATATTGATCTGAATTTTCATTTTCAGTATCGGACGTATCAAATTATAATATTAAATTAGTATAATGTGACCTAGATTGATAACTGTAATAACATAACCTTACAATTTTATATTTGTCACAAATGGATTTACAATAAACCTAAAAATACCTAATTTATACTTACTTTTTGTGGTTTTGCTCCGAATTCTACTCAGTTTCTACATCTTGTAGTCACTTTCCCACTCATTTTGGGTAGTTCTCTGTGGTTTTAATAATAACAATAACAAATTAAAAGTAAAGTATAGAACAATCGAAAACTACACTTGCACGACATTAATAATACAGCATAAATCCTAATATATCTTAAGCCTCGAAATCTAACAGCGTTTGAGTTGTGATAGTGGTGCAGAGTTTGCTGGGTACTGTATTAAATGCAATACTATCATAACTAAAAAGTGATAGTCTTGTACTCATAAGTTTTTCATTTCGAATAAATTTAAAACTAAACTAACTAATTTTAAGTTAAGTTTAAGCAAAAATGGCAATTTTTGAGTTGTGATAGTCTTGCATTGATGGTACGATATGGTCTTTTTGTTACCTTATAGACGTAATATTAGTACGTTTATATATTTTTAGATCCGATTTACATTCTGTTATAATTTATAGATATATTTATATTTATATTTATATTTATATAGATATATTTTATAGATATATTCAAGTCTTTTTTCTTAAATTAATATCTATGTGTCCAATATTTTGATATATTAAAAAACTATTTTAGAATATTTATTAGTTTTTATTATTTCAAGAAAACATAAGGAGATAAGTCAAGTTATAGTTGAAATGGACATAAAATCATCTTGGTAAAGGGGGTTATGTAGATTTATACCCTTATGCTCGGTAGTAACTTGGCTAACATTATGTGCACTGTAGTGTGAACTACAGTTATTTATACTTACAACGGGCCACCACAATAAAGCAAAGAAAATATTTTGTTCTGGATATAGAGTTGACAGAACAAGGAATAAAACGTAAATTTTTTCAAAAAAATTATTAAACATGGAGGTTTCTACAGCAATCTGATGATACGTTTACAAATTAACAATTGATCAAGATGATACTTGGAAAGAGAATTAAAGACGCATTCTAAACACAAAATAAAAACATTTATTCTATGTAATACAAACAGAATAGCTTTCGCAGCAAGAAAAAACATTTTTGATTAACACAAATATTTTTCGCAAGCTGTTTCTTTAAAATAATAAATTACACAAATATTAGTTTTAGAATATTTTATTAAAAATCGTCATCACTAAAATAATTATCTATGTCTGGATCAGTGTCAGCAGTATTATCCAGATCTTGTGAATTTCGTGGGATTTGGGCAAGTTCACGATAAAATTCTTTTGGACTCTGATCAAATAACTCAATAAGGTCTAAAAGATTTTTTACTCTTTTTTTACTTATTTGTCTTAGCTTGTCATACAAATTAATTAAAGCAATGTTCTTGATATCGATGGGTGTATCTTTTTTTGTCTTCTAAAATTTATTTCTTGAAGTGGCTCATACTCCTGAAGCGATGTTTTAAAATTAATAATACCAAATTCCTTGGTGTATTTAGCCATTTCATATTTCTCCAGCAAATTTCAGTCTTTTGTCTGTCTTCTTTCTCTTTATTAACATTCCTTTGAATAAATTTTTAAAATTAAAAAAAGATTTGGGGTCATTTCAATTACCGTAAACTTATTTTTTCTGTTGGGTTTGTTTCCTCTATTTTGTGTTTTTGTTTAGCCGTAGTAGTACGTTTTGTTCTTGCAGATCTTACTAAGTTATACCAATCTCTAGGTACATGGATAGTAAATAGGCATTTTTTTTTAAATATTTTTATTGTTGCGTGATCTACGTCACACTCCATGTGAGTATGGCCAGGCACTAAAAATTTATGATCAATTACCTTTAAGTTATTATTTTGACTTAATAAAAGCGTAAACATTGCTGCCACAAATGAGTTTTTATTTTGCCTGCCACAAGTATCACTGTATAAAATGACGTGCTCTATTTCAGAAGGTAAATTAGCGAAACTTAAATTAACAAGAAGCAATTTCGTTGGCATATCGTCCCGCGATACCTTCATGCTACTAATCACTAATTGTTAAGTCATACAAATATTTTTTGACTTTTGCTGTTTATACATTTTAATTTATCTAATTTCTTTGACTCGTAAGCAGTTTCAGCTTCTGTATGATGAGCTGCTAATAAATTCTCATACTTTTTCCTTGCATCAGCTGTCTTACTAATATTAATATGATTGTGAAAAATATCACAATTGTTACAGGTATCGTTGATTGGTTTTTTAAACTTTAAGCCTAATTTATCGATTGTTTGAGAGTAAACTTTATAAGAAACCGGTTCAGATATTATGTCCTGGGTATACAATTGATACATCTTAGCTTTTGTTAATTCTGCTACTATATTACTTTTTTTACTGTACCCTGGCCGCTTAAAACATGGAATCCAAGGTCACATGATCGCTGAATGCAAACATCGATAGTCGGTCAAAACTAGATCTTCTGAGAAACTGTTTACACCGTCATTATATTATTTATCTATGGTCATTATTAATTTGTGTTTCACTTTCGCTGGTGAATTTTGTTGGCAGTGTTAAAAATTGTTTGTAGAGTTGACGCGTCCGTATACCTAATTTGTATTTGTATTTTTTGTATTCTTGCGAATAAAGATTCTATTCTATTCAAACGAATCGCATTCCATCAAATTTATAAGACGAATTTATCTCTTAATTTTATTTAAAGTTTATTTTTGACATATTTATACACGCAAAAGTCAATAAAATGTTTAAATTTAATGTAAATCAATGATTTGTAAAAAAAGGTATAAATATATTATACCGAGAGTATAAGTTCGTTTTTGTTGAGCGGTGTAAACTATAGTATCTTTTCGTGAGTAGTAAGACTCATAGGCAGGAAATTTTGATATGTAGCTATAGACGAGTTCCATTCAAGATTCGGAAATTTTGTTTTTTGGTTCATGCCTGCCTCTGCCATCTGCTAGTGCCAGAAATACTACACTTGGATGACATTTCCTGTTAACAGTTTCTATAAATTTATTACTTTCGTCAAAAATAGCACAAAAACATACCTTGAAGCATTGGATTCTTTCTCCTTGGATTTTTATAAAATATGTAAAACTCTTTTCCCTATTTTTTGAAAGTTTATCAGTATCACTTCTGTTAGTAGTAATCTTCTTGTCAGAAATTTGAATTAATGAGGCAATATAACTTACCCTTCTATCGTAGTTGCTCATTCCCCAGTAACTTTGAAACAGAGATAATCTATGTTCATCAAATAAATTTTTTTTACACTTTATTCGACAATCTCGCAGTGACCGTGACTGCCTAGCTTTTATTGCGTTTTCTTTGTTTGTTTCATATCCTTTACCCGTATTTCGTAAAACCTGTCTATTTTTACTCTTTTTCCTACTTTTCGTTTCAATATTTTGTGCATTGGTTGGCCATGTTCTTCATTGTTTTCAAAATTTGATTCATCTGAGCCATTTTTCTCCTGTTCGTTGTCAGAATCACTATGGTGGTCTTCTTGGATGTGATCATAGGCAGGGTCTTTTACGCTGTCGCCTGAGTCAAAATCTTGCTGTACATTTTCTTTTACTAAAAAAAAAATATGGAATGTAGTGATCAATAATCAACAATTATACCACACGTGGTGGATATTTTGGTGAGTATAATTGAATATATTTTTTTGTCTCAATATTATCTTAAATTCACGAGATGAAATATATTCGAAAATACCTCGAAAGCGAAGCGATGTTTGGTCAAGTGGTATTTACACTTACAGGACCAAATGGACGGAAAAATAATGTTAACGTAACTTAGATCATAAGAATCTTGAGCAAAGTTAAGGGAGAACAGTACGTCATTTCCTATGGTGATTCACATTCCCTGGCAGTGGTTTTTCCTATTGTTGAAGGGCTGCCTCAATATATAAATTAAACAGTATGGGTGACATACTGCATCCTTTTCTTAGATCTTTGGTTTCTTTTATTGGCTCTGATAGTATGTTTCCGTAGTGTTATCCCTGTATAATTCTGTGATTATTTCTAAAATGTATTGACTCATGCCGAGTTGTTGTAAATCTTGCCACAGTTTAAGTCCTGGAACTTTATCGTACGCCTTTTCTAGATCGATGAAGGCTAGATGTACTTCGCTACCAACCGCTATTCTTTTTTCTATTAATTGTTGGAGTATTAACAAGTTATTAGTGCAAGATCTGCCAGGGGTAAATCCACTTTGGTCTTTTCTAATTAGATGTCTTACATCATACATCATCTTGTATTTTTACATTTATTATATTTCCATATAATCTCCCGAAAGTAGGTAGGACACTTAATCCTCTGTAGCGTTAGGATATTTTCGATTACCCTTTTTAAAGATGGACACTTGGTGAGCGGTCCATTCAGATGGTACTTTAATTTGTTGGCAGCATTGATTCATTAGAAAAGTTATTTGTTCTATTAGGAGTGGACCTCCTGCTTTAAGTAACTCTACAGCTATATTGCCAGGTCCTGGAGATCGCCCATTCTTCATTTTAATTAATGCAGTACGGACCTCGTTGTTAGTAGTATTAATGTTACTATTTGTTTGTCTCTCCATACTGTATTCCTCTCCGATATATTCCAATCTGGACTCTTGGAGTAAATTTTTATAGTGATTTTCCCACTTTTCTATAGGAATTAAGTTGCTTAAGGAATTATGGGTGTTTTTCTTTAGATTAGTGATAGTTCTCCATGCTTCCGTAGTCTGAGAACCACCAATTAAATTTTCAACTTGGAGATATTTTTGTTCCCAGAAATTGTTTTTTGCTTTTTTATTTGATTGCTTACTTTTCCGTTTTTCTTTTGATATGTATCTCTATGTAGATGTTTAATTTGTTGGCCATTTCTTGAATATTTTGTTTTTTTCTTGTATCATTTCTTTTACGTTTTCTGTCATCCATGGTGGTTCGTGATATTTTTCGTCGTTGTTCTCTGTTCCTAATACTTTATAAGCAATTTTTTATTATTGTTTTGAGGTTGTTGTATTCTTGTTCTACATCCATATTTCTTTCGATCTCATTTAGTTTCTTTTCTAATCTAGATTGAAAAAGATGTTTAATACTTGGTTGAAATAAAAGGTGCAATTTATATCTCTCCGTTTTGTACTGTGTAGTATTGTTTCTCTCACTTTCGGTGTTCTGTTTGGAGTATTGTTTAAAGGGGCACAAAAGATTAGCTAAAAGAAAGTGGTGATCTGTCCCACAGTTAGATCCTCTTTTTACTCTGTAGTCTTGGCACTTAAATTTTGATTTCTGTCTCATTATTATATAGTCTATGATCGACTTCTGTTGAAAGACGTCAATCATAAAATTAATTCTCTTACCACAAATTCCTAAAGAACAAGAGAACTTATTCTTAATATTCGTCAAATTATCGAAAAAAGTTTAACGTAAAAACATATTTATGCTTTGTTGACTATTCCAAAGGCTTCGATGCCGTAAAATGGGATCAAATGTGACATATACTACAATGAGAAATGGGTACATCAGAACATCTAATCTTTTTATTACAAAAACTATATATAAATAATACTGCTAATGTAAGAGTTAATAACATGGTCTCGAAAAACTTTAAATTAAAATCTGGAGTTCGATAGGGCTACATAATACCCCCTATTCTATTCACTATATATAGTGAACATATTATGCGTCAAGTTTTTGGGGAATTGCAAGGTGGATCAACGATAGAAGGAAGAAAAATCAAAAACCTACGTTATGCTGGGACACTCTTATATTGGCGTCATCACCAGAAGAACTGGAACAAATTATAAATAGGCTAGGCACGGAGAGTACGGAATATGGTTTGAAAATAAAGATGCAGAAAACCAACGTTATGATCATCGATAGAATCAGAAAAACCAAGCAGAGATAAGAAACATGGCAGGCTACGAAGTGGTCAGGCAATTTAATTACTGAGGCTCCGTTATTACTATACTCTGTTTTTTAACCAGGAGGAGTAAACCAAAAAGACAGATTCACACTCAAGAAAGTTACTAGAAAAGTCACCAAATACATCTTCTTTTTTTGTTGATTATCTCGGCCTTGCGGTAATCGAGTAATCAATATTAGACAACCTCACAGGTCGATTTTAACCTAACTTTGTTTATTTATGTTTAAGTAATAAAATATTTTTTTTCAATTCACTTCCAATATATATTACAATAAAAAAATGACGTTTTTCACATTTGGTCCCATGTATATATATTTAAATATCGGGTTATCCAGTTTTATAGATCTGTGGTAGTTGAGTCTATGGTATTTAATTTTTGAATATTTTTATCGGAAGAGTGTCAATAATGTTACAGATCTAAGTATGGTTTTACTCAGAAATTTGTCTTTTAATAGTAGACCATATTCTTATTCTGGTATGATCAATTTCTTGAATCTAGTTTTTTTTTCTTACCAGATACTTTGTATAAATGTGTACTTAAAATTTCTTTAATGCTGGATTCTTGTTTAATTTTGACAGTGAGTTTGTCCCATTTGTTATCAACAAATAAAATTTACTAAAAAATACCTGATTTCTGTGAGAATACAACAAATCCAATCTAGTATGTTAGATTCTTGCATAATTTTGCAGTTTTCTTGTGATGATCTACAACCAGGAAGAACAAAACCAACTGTCTCATACAATCAAACTAAAACACATTACTTTACTAATGTTCTTTTATTGTGATGAAAACAAAATGGAAATGCTTCTTAACAAGTATACACTAAATTTAAAAGATAGTTGCCGTTTTTCTTATGATAATTAGATATAAATAACATACATTTATAAACACTTTAAACTACATTTAGTATAAATATCATCTAGAAAAATATCACATTAAATACTATTCGCATATCACCAAAGTCCAAGTTATTACAAACAACTTAAAGAGTTAGAAAACGATTTTATGTATTATAGAGGAAATTAATAATAATAAATAAATTTCACAAATGTCATTAGTGTCAATGTCATAATTTAGTGGAGTACTGCGGTTGGACCAATTGCAAACAAGCATTACGGCGCGGAAAATTTGAATTACTCCTCCTGGTTAAAAAACAGACCATAACAGTGGAAGATGCGAAGGCGAGATCTGTCGACGCATTACAATGACCAGATCGGCAACAGCCTAACTCCCAAAAATTTTAAGAACACTGACATCACAAAAAACACAAAATTACTCCTTGTTCGAGTACTGATATTTCCTATCGCCACCTATGCTTCAGAAACTTGGACAATAAAAAAATCCGATTCAAAGCATAACACGACATTTGAAATGTGGGTCTACCGTAGAATGTTGTACCTATCGTGGACCGCCTATCGCACAAATAACTCAATTCTAGCAGAACTTAACATAAAAACTAGACTCATCACAACTATCAACCAGAATATACTATTTGGACATATAATAATGAAGAGAAGAGAAGGCCGGGAGCGAATGATAGTCAAAAGTAACGTACCGGGGAAAAGATCCAGAGGAAGGATATAAAGGATTTGAAATAAATTTTTTGTGATATATGGTATACAGCCAGCTACAGGAACTTAGTTTCCTAGTAGATTTTTGATATCCAGAGGAAGATCTTAAGTATGCTGGTCGGACCAAATAAAGAACATGAATGGTTACTCATTCTGCAAAGCAAAACAACACGCAGAGGAGAGAGATAATTGGACAGAAATAGTCAAACAAATTACATGACGCCACTACATCGTTACGAAGGAGAAAAGATAGAGGGGAGATTCTTTATCTAGTTCTTTCTTCTAACTCTTCGTCCTTGTTTTCATATCCATAATCTTCTTTGGTGACCTACTAAACTAATCTTCTTGTTTTAACCGTATGCACCAACTTCACACTCGTATGTGTTTTCTAACCTGTAATAATAAGATATTTCTGAATATCTTGCTCCAAAAATAATATTTCCTGAATATCTAGCTCAGTGGGTACAATCCAAAAACATATTTTCACTCTTAGATGATGTTGTAAACGAACATTTATTTGTAATCAACGAATGTATTTCACTTCCAAAGATCTTTTAAATGTTTATTACTGTGCCTTTCCATCATATTTTTCAATTTGGTGTAAAATAAAAAAAACGCAAAATTTGTTCATATAATCTTTTAAATACTCATTTTTATTATCATGTTTCATGGAGTTGTAAATTTTCTGAGAGTTTTATATTCTATTAAATCTTCAAAATTACGCAGAAAAACAATAAACAAGGCAGTAACCACATAAAAAATTAAATTTAATGATGTCTTGCTCCTGAACGATAACTCTTTTTGTGCTCCAAGTCGTTCAATTAACTCTAGACATTTTAAATATTTACGACCTGACAAGGAAAGAGCGTTTTATCGAATTTAAATACAATTTCTTTTTTCAAGACGATTAACAACATTATTAATGTACATTGAAGGCGTCCTTTTAAAGATTAGAACGAGTTGTTGTTGACCGATTGTATTATTAATATTTGAATTACCGGATACTATGACGTTTGTTTAAATTAGGTAATAGAAGTATGTTAGTAGTTACAAGTACTGCGTGGTCTATATTTTTCGCGAGACGAGCACTGCACAAAATTGTTCATTCATACTGCTGATGTAATATGGATGATGTCGACGAAATTAAAGTGGCATTTGTATATTGTACATATTGTTTCCAAACAATGAAATATGATCCAGGATTTAATGATGGCTAGTAACCTCCCCAAAATGATGGCGAATTCTAAAACGATAGGAGTAAATCCCCAGGTGGGTAGATCATACAGAGTTGGCAAGTTCAACTCCTTTATAAAAAAGGACTCTGGAATCTGGGGGAAGCAAGAAATCGCTAAAAACAACAATCTTGAATATAGCAACACTCAATGTAAGGTCCTTAAACAGAGATGAAAAAATCTATGAGCTGGAAGAAGAAATAAAGGACCTAAAATGGGACATAATTGGTCTCGCAGAGGTAAAAAGGAAAGGTGAGGAGCGCATAACATTGCAATCAGGTAACATCTTGTATTACAAAGGGCACAAAGAACAAAGTCTAAACGGCGTAGGATTTCTGGTTTCTAAGAAACATGCTAATAAAATAGAACAATATGTGGGAATCTCAGAAATAATTGCAATGATTGTGATAAATATAAACGAGAAAATCACCCTAAAAATCATTCAAGTGTACGCCCCAACTTCAACACACCCCGATGAAGAGATAGATGAGTTCTACGAGAAAATAATAGAAACCAACATGAACTATCACAGCACTTACACACTTATAATAGGAGATTTCAACGCTAAGATTGGACAACGACTAGAAGAAAGCGAAAACTATATTGGTGAATTCAGCTATGATGTTAGAAATGAGAGAGGAGAAACCCTGGTTAACTTCCTACATAGCAACAAATATTTCGTAATGAACATATTTTATAAAAAAAAAACCGCAAAGAAAGTGGACGTGGTTATCAGCAGATGAAAAAAGAAGGAACGAAACCGATTACATCATGTGTAACAAGAAAGGTATCGTAGAAGATGTAACAGTAATAAATAATGTCTCTCTGGGTAGTGATCACAGAATGGTTAGAGCTAAACTAAATATTAAGCATAGCAAACGTAGAATTAACTTTAATAACACGATATAAATAGACACAGAAAAGCTAAAAGTCGATAAAGAAAATATGCTAGCAAATTAAAAACCGCCCAAGCACTCAATCTAGAACAACTCAGAGTTAATAAAATTAACTCAGTTATAACAAAAGATCTATTGAATGCTAGCTTTGAAGTAGCAACCCGCCATAACAACAAAAAATCCAAAATAAGTGCAGAATCGAAGAATATGCTGAAACAACGAAAAGAGCTCCTGTCACTAAACAAAAGAAATACCACAGAATACAAAGAACTTAATCGAGCCATACGAAAACAGATAAAAGACGATATTAAAAAACATCAACAAGAACATGTAGAAAGAGTGATAGAGAAAAATCGAAGTCTGAAATATACCAAACCAAAATTAGGAAAGAAAAATATTATAACTATGAAAAATCAACAAGGCCAACTAGAAACAAGCAAAGCTCAGATATCAAACATAGTTGAAAACTTCTATACTGAGTTATACCGCTCAAGAAACGATCCCCCCGACTCTTCAAAGCAAAATCTGAAAAGACAAATAACAAACGTAAATTCTGAAGTAATAAGCGAGTAGAAATCCCGAAATAAGCGAAGTAGAAATAGAAAATGCAATTAACGAATTGAAAAGAAATAAAGCACCGGGTAGTGATGGAATTCTGGCAGAAATGTTGAAAGAAGGTGGAGAAGAAGTCATCAGGTACCTAAAAATACTTTTTAATAAATGCCTATTTGAAGGAAACATACCAAAGGAATGGAATGAAAGACATTCACAAAAAAGAACATGGACAAGATTCGAAAAACTCAGCGAGCCATGGAACGACAGATGCTTGGTATCTCACTAATAGATCGGCAAACGAACGAAGCAATCCGGAACAAAACAAAAATAAAGGACGCCGCGAAACAAGCAGCTACATTAAATTGGAAATGGGCTGGACACAACGAACGTCTCGAAGATGGTAGATGGATCAAAGAAGTCGGAAACTGGCGACCGTACGATGCGAGGATGCAGGGATGAATGGCGAGAAATGGGAGAGGCCTTTATTCGACAATTCGGATAGAAAAAGGGCTATAAAAAAATTAATTGATCCAGGAGTCCAGAAAACAGACTTTATCGTTCCACTTTTTCGCTTGTTAATATGGAGAACAATTAAGCATCAAGATGTTGACCAGGTTATACGAAAAATGATTATTGTGAAATTTTATAACAAAAAGCCGCAATACCCAAAACCAAACAAAAATATAACGTCAACGTTCAAAAAGAAAACGAAGAGTTCAGTTTCACCCGAACCAAAGATCAATGATAGATTACGCGATAAAAAAGAAAACAATACACTAATCAAAAGTAATTGATTTAAAATGTCGTAACTTATCGCAAGTAGGACGCGACCACGGTATCTTCTAATGTAAAAAAAAAGAATGAATGTAAAAAATGACTGAGAACGAAGTAGTATTAAGACGACAACTAAAACTAGTTTTTTATTTGTATTAGAAACATCAGAAGAATCAGATTACAAATTACAATATTTTAGAACGTGTATAATCGTGCATGTACATAAACTGGGTAACCCGTTTATAGAGAGTATCCCTGAATCTCGATGTTCCAGTTTTGCAGTCTATTAAGAGATTTACAGACTTCTAGACTACCCATATTTCAAGATGGCAAGGGGCTAGTTCTTCTAGTGGTTGCATCCAGTGGTGGTATTTTAATGTTACCCATCTCTCTAGCTCGAAAGGAGTTTGGTGGTTTAAGTCTTGTGTTGTTTGGAGGAAACTATTTCTTCATTTTATCCTTTAGATAGCTAGTTGGATTCCATACAGTGGATCTTCGGGATAATGGACTTCTCTCTTACTAGATCCTATCTGCAGGAGTAGGTACTAAATCCTATCTGCAGGAGTCGGTTGCAAGCAGCCGGTAATAAGCCAGCATGTTTCGCTGAGCACTACATCAACATCCTTGGCATGAATAGACGTGTGCCAGATGCGGGAGGCATACTCACTAGGTGGGAAGCAAACAGCTAGTCCTGTCATTATAAAGACAGGGAGTTTAACACCCCAGATTGAGCCTATAAGTTGGCGTAAGATATTGTTTCTGTGGCTGATTTTATTTTGGTATTAGGGCAGAATTGCCTATATGTAAGGGCTTTATCTAAGGTGACGTGTGGGTACTTCGTATAATGGTTGTGCTCTAGAGGCTTTCCTTTTCATGTGCCGCACCGTTTTCGGGATGTGTGTCTATTACAGAGATAAAAGGCACAGCCTGGGTTTTGGCACTATTTGGAATAAGTTGTTTATGGCAGTAATACTGATAAATTCTCTCTAGGGCCTCAGTTAGCCTCTTCTCAACCTCCTCATATAGCTCCGTCATATGGGGCTCCTAAAATAGGCTCCTCAAATGGACCTTGGACTCCCGTGGCTTGGTCCTCGGCATATATAAATTTGATGGAGTCCTTCTGTATTGATTTGCCGTTAGTGTAGATGTTGAAGTTGGAGCCAGAATACTGTCCTATGGTAGTTTATTTCTGTCTTTGCCACCTGCCCCTCCCATCCTAGAACTCTACAAAAAGCATACGGTTGGCTAGAAACTCCCTGATTGCCAATGTAAGCGTGTCGTAAACGATTGAGAGGTCTATGGACGTAACTCTCGTTATATCTTGCACATATCTGCTTTTCAAATTCCAGACATCAAACGTTAACAAAAGCAAGTAGGCTCTTATTATTTAATTATTTTAGCTCATCGTGGCTCCAACGTGGAAAACGAACGCCTTAATATTATTGCACTAGGACTAACACTAATGCAATAGAGCAAACGGCTCTATATCTCTTAAGCTGCTGTTGATTGACGAATTGTGTAAGCTGCATCCTTAACGTGAAGATGAAGTATCTCTTTGTATCTAGTTTTTTATGAACTTATTGACTTCTTCTTTTATTCTGTGCATGTTTAGGTCTCTGTGAAGATCGTCATTTCTATAAAATTCACTACGCATCTCAGGGTCTTGTTTCTCAGGACTTTCGGATTTGATTTAAGACGCGTAGTAGTCACTTATTGTATATTGACAGATTTATGTCCGAGAAGCAATACAGTTTTTTAAATTTAAGGTGGAATTCTTTCCTTTTCTTTTTAATATGGTCCTTCCATTTGAAACGAGTATTCAAGTTTATTCCCAGGTTCTTAGCTGAGTTATAGAATGACATCACTTAATTGCTTATTACTATGTTTCCGGATCATTTTATCATTTTTCAAATAGATAAAATCAAAGTGATCTAAATGTGTTAAATTTTTTCTCTAATTTCTATTATTTTTGCCGACTGTCAGTATAGCTGTGTCATCAGCATAACTATTTTATTTTTTGGC